ATTTCTGCAAGAATTTGGGTGTGGGGGAGCATTGCTCTCAAATCCTCCTGCTGCTGGTGTTGCTCAGAAGTAATATAAAAGGAATGAAGTAAAAATTACTGTATTTTRTCCAAACTGATCAAGTTATAACAAGGGAACTGTAATTCAGCCAGTGTGTCTGTTAGGAGATCATCTCTTGATTTCAGGTTTCCAATCCTGTGTGYTGTTGGCTCTGCCGACAGTGATGAGAGACAAATCTCTCTGCTGTTGGCAGGAACAGAGGAGTTCACACAGGCATAGTGTGACAAAATTCCCTACATAAAAATTATCCTTGCTAATATAATATAATCATCCTTTAATGAAGTGGTCCTGTGGTTCCCAAAGGATGTATCAAGTGAAGACTACGCTTTCATCCCACTGAATTGTCAGTGTGTTTAGTGTGCCAGTCACACCCGCGCCAAGGTGTCACCACCATTGCTGCTCGTCTGCTTTTCAGGCCTGTTTTTAATTCCTTTTCCACTTATGCAGCTCAGGTCGAGTGAGAAAGAGGAAAATAAGCYCAGTGAGTGCACTTATATTTTTATTTGTTTCAGAATGCCCATGATTTAAAAGCTAGTGATCAATTTAGTTGACCTAAATGTAGAGCCAAATTGAAAAATGTATCCTCTGAGCATGTGCAATATTGCAAAACTGCTGGCTGTGTGCGCTGATGTCTTTTTGTGTTGGTGGTTTGTTGGAAAAGCATTTTGAGTGCTTATTTCTGCACATACTCTCACTGTGCTTGCTTCAGCTGCTGCTAGTCAAGAGGACTCACACTACACTTTTCATGTCTTTCTGACTTGCAGGCTGTAAAGGGCCTTGTTCACCAGAGTTTGAAACTCTGGCAAACACTTTGCTGCAGATCTATTAAGGATGCTACAGCATTCCCAAGTGTGGTTGAAGCTGCCTGAAACTGCTGAGCTGGCATTTCACTTGAGACGATTCTCACAATAAGGGCATACACACAAATCCTCCCCCACYGGTCCAACCCCAGAGCTCACAATTAAATGGCCTTTGAAAAATGGCAAAGAGGCTTACRAAGAATAGCCTTGATGGAATCTAACCTTTCCTGGAGCTGCCCTTGTGTGCGGAATAGTTGATAATTTTCTGAGCTGAAGACGTTGAGAGGCGAACACCTTTTAGCGGGAGCGAAATATCTGCAGCCTTCTTGTGTTCTGCATGTAAAGTACCAGCAAAGYCTGCCCTGGCTCCGTACGGGCACTCAACCTCTACAGTTCCCTTCCAAGGCTTTGCCTTTCCCTGTGGAGCACAGAGGGGTGCTGAGGGCTGGCCAGTCCATCACTGGGGCTGGTAGCAGATGGGAGTTGGTGGCCCCTGCCGAGGGTGGCCATACCAGCTGGGTGCAAGGCACTCTGCCCCACCAGTGCTCACTGCTGAGGAGCTGGTGGGGTAAGAGYTAGGGGCTCAAATCACTTGGCTTTTATAGCCTTGGAAAGGAACGTTTCCTCTAAGTTGCAACTGAGTTTAAAATTAAAGCAAAAGGGGGAATGTACCTGCCCTGCAAATTCAGGCTTTGTCACTTGCTCAAGTAAATTAAATAAAGCTTTACAAAAGTGTGCATTTGCCATGGTAATTAATCTTATACCGTGAAAGAAMAGCACACTGAGTAGGGGATTTGGGTTACTGGTATTAAAAATACCTGAAACCAGTTGGAGTCCACGGTTTCTTTGGCAAAGGAAATTTTATTTACAAGGTCTTACAAATGCRGTTGTGTATTTTCAGGAACAGTAAATGCCATAAGCTTAAACCATACAYGCTAATCTCACTGATATGTGCTTAGACCTTACCATAAAAAAAAAAGAAAAATAAAAAAATCAGTACATTATTCATTAGTATAACTTTGATTAGTGATACTATTTTTTCACACTAAGATGATCATTTTGTTCTTCTGTCCCACACAAGCATGGAATATATCYATAATCCTATCTATATTCACCTTTACCAGATATCTGATGGCTTTTAAATGTTTTCATGGGGAATCAGTTTTTTTGAAGGCTGCCAGGTTGACAGCTATGGAGTCTGAAGCGGTTTAGTTTGTGCATAGAACTATTTGGAGCTACCAAATTAATTTCTTACAGAAAGGCAGGTTATTTTTGGAGGTTTCTTGTAACTGTTCAACATAATTTTTTTTTCTCATTTTTGCTACATCATTTGGCATATAACCATGGTATGGTTCATGTTCAAATATCCCCCACTTCTGGGGCTATCTGCCCGCAGGGAAGCAAGCAAGGATGGCCAAGCGCCTGCCTGGGCAAGTATTGATTGAGGCTGATGTTGGGTGCAAACAAACTGCAGCCCCAGGTCTGTGGGTGTGAATGTTTGGGTCTGCAGCTCATTTATCTGAACTGTGACATTCCTGGCTACAAGATTCTTYTGCCATGAATACACTTCCACCTTCTTTTGGACTGCTGTTGTATCAGTAGAGGCTTCTGGCGGCTGAGTTTTCAGGAATGAAGCAGTTTCTGTTTTTCTTAAAAAATATGCTCTATACTTGGGCATGATAAAARGTTCTGGTGTTACATTCTCCCTGCAGAACCTGCCCATACCAAGCAGGATGGGAAATGAAGGAGCTCACATGCAGGTGGCTCAGATCCATAGGTTTTCACTTAAAGCTACACAGTTTCTCAGAATAAAAAAATAATCAACCAAAAAAAACCCCAGACCAGGCTGAGATATCTGAATAAAATTACAACCACCTCCCTTTCCAGGACTTATTTTTTACAGAGCAAAGAACAAGACTGCTTTTGCTCTTGTGGTGTCTTTCTCCCATTTGCACTGCCTTCAGCCACTGCAGGGATTGGGAAGGGGTGGGAATTCTGAGGTTGATGAGACAAGGCGTGTTTAAAAGCCTTTGCTCAACGAGCACAGTGCTATGGCAGCGTTTTTTCATTCTGTATAGTGCTTGTGATCCCTTTCAGTCTTTCTTGCAGTTACARAGCAAAATCTGGAAATATTATATATAGTAAGCTGCTGAACATATAGAGGTTACTGGGGCAGTAAAGTATTCACAGRGATCAAATAAATGGCTTGTCTTTTAAAGCCAAAATTAAATCATACTAAGAAAACCTGGCACAATTTTCTTTTTCCTTGAGTAGCGGTAGTGTTGAAGTGATTCATTGGAAGTTTTACCTCTTCTTAGCCTGTAAAGGGTAARTGTGCACTTGGGAGCATCAGTGCCTCAAAATGAGAACTCAAGGGTCATTTTTTTCTCTAAAACAACATTGTGGTGTCATTGTTCCAGCGCACAGTGGGGTGCACAGGTGCTGCTGGGTGGTGGTTTGGTCCCCTGGAGCTGGAAGGTGTGTGTGTTCCAGGAGCTCCACAGAGCTGTGGGTCACGTCCTTCTCTTCTGCATATCTTCTCCCAGATGATGTGCACATGTTGAAACCCGCATGTCTGTTTTTAAGTACAGAAATGGCAAATGTATTTGCTAGCAACGGTATGCTACATGTGGTCCATTTTTTTTTTATTAAATGGAGAATCACAGTTGACTCTTAATGCAGCTGAATTCTGTTTGAACAGGACTTTATTTGCTACACGACAGATAAGGAGACCTTTCTTTCAAGTCTTATATGTTAATGGAAACATAATCACGTTAGCTATACTGTCATTAAAAAAACAAACTCATAAAAAGTATAACCTTAGGAGACGTGAGTTGCTACTACATTCGCTAACACTTCATTCTGTTGACTTTCTCACGCAGCCTGTCCTTCGGCATCACGTTGTGTTGCAAAGCTGGAGGCTGCTGGCCTCAATGCAGAGACTCTCCAATTTACATTCTGGTCATACTGCAGGGTTTCATAACCCCGCTTTAGTTTTTCCCTGGCTTCCCAACAGCTCTGCTGCCTGACACTGCCCAGGGACCTCCAGGGCGAGGGAAAGGGCCTGGGAGTCCCAGGGAACAAGGGGAGCAGCCAAGAGTCTTTGCTAGAAGAAACTGTCACTACAGAGTGCAATACTGGCTTGAGAAGTGGTGTAAGCTGGTTCTGGATCAGTARGCTGTTGCACAGGGATTTCAGCACAGGTGTCTGGACTGAAAGAAAGGATTGAAGCTGCTGTGTTGGGTAGTTCTTACCTGCCACATGGAAAGGTGTCGAGAGAGCACGTAGGGGAAAGCAGGTCAAAAATACCATAGTTCTCGGTGTCTTGTCAGAGTTTCCAGAAATRCTTTTTAAGAACTAAGCCCTTTCAAATCTCTGTCTTCTGTTTTGGAACAATTGGAGAATGACCTGTACAAAACGATGAGTCCGTAAGAACTGATTGCTTGCAAATTCCTCAAAACACTGACATGTCTGAATACTTGGCTGTCTTTTTAATACTAGCATTAATTTTAATTTTGTTTCACGAGCCCTTGCCTGAATAAAGCGCTCTGAGTTAATGCCTCTCATTGAAAGAAGACGTGCCTGGCACTGCTGAGTCCCCCCACTGGAGCAGTCCAGGCTGTGGGCACGGATCCGGCACCGTRCTCTGATGTGCAGCCTGCATTACTGCTGTGAGATGGAGAGAGAAATTTCACTTTACTAACTTTCATGTTTTGTATTGTAGCCATGAGACGCAAACGACCTGCTGGGATCATCCCAAGATGACTGAGCTTTACCAGTCATTAGGTAAGACAGCTCTACCAGATGTTTGGTGCCTTTTTTTTTTTTTTTCTTCAGTTGAATGATTTGCTACGGCAAAGACTTCCAAAGGAAGCAAACCGAAAATTTAGTGAAAGACAGAGGCAGGGCTTTTACCAAGGTTAAAATTTTCTGCATGGGAAATTTATAAGGAACACATTTAAAACATGCAGTAGAAAAAATCTGAATTTCATTCAGCACATTTGGAATGTACACCAGGTTTACAAAGTAATCTGGGTGTATTGTTGCAAACTCTTTATTAAAAGACTGGAACAGAAGTTAAAAAAAAATAATCCTGAATCTTTTCACTGTCTAATCTACTTTACAAAAGGCACATGAAAAAATCAAACAAAGCTGCTGTTAATGTTGACTTTTGGATGGTGGGAAGCCAATTGAAGCAATTTGCCAAACTGTGTTACCACTGCTTTATTTTTAAAGCACTTTCAATACTTAGAAGGCATAGCAGCTGTCATGATGTCATTTTGAATACCCAAATTGCATGCTTATTATGACTTCAGATGTGCCTCTCTGGTGGAGGGTTTTTTGTTTCATTTTTTAGCAGCTTTGGAATTTATTAACAGAAGCACATCTATAAGATAAAATGGGTTAATCTATGCTCTAGTGTTTGGCAGGCCATTTAATAGCTAACTCTTTGATTTTAATGGTTGTGTTAATAAATAATAGAGGGTATAATAAAAATTAAGCTATTTTGCTGAAAGAAATCAGTAAATACGCTGCATTCATAAAGGAGGTTACGTCTGTACAGCACATGTACATAAACCAGCTTGAGCACTAGGATTGTCAAATCTAGCATTCTGTGCAGGCTTATTTGCCATGGTGAAAAATAGCTTAAATTATCACCTGCTAAACTCTAGTTTAGCTGCTGAAAACAGTCTAATTATGCCAGTGTAATCTATTTCAAGCGAACTCAGGTATCTCTATGGTGCTCTGCAGTTCAAGGCATGCTAAAAATATTTTAGAAAAGTGATATTATAAAATGAAACAACACAGTGTGAAGATTTTTCCCTTACAGTATTAGCAGTGTGGCAGCAGTTGGTTTAAAAATTAACCAGAATGCTGCTCTGTATGCCAAAAARGGATATAAAATGTATAAGTTCGGGCTAACCAAATGAAAAAGCAGACAAGTATTGACTTGCCATTTAATTATAACATATTGCCCTGTTTTTCTCCTTCATATTTCTGCTGTTAAAGTGAGGGTTTAAAAGTTTCAGGACAAATGGTAATTGCATATGCAGACATCCTTTAATACAGCTAGGTCTTCAAGCAGTTGCCTGTTAATTGAAGTTCACTCTCACTCCACAGCCACCTTTGATCCACAGATTTCGTGGTATTGCTGATAYTGTTGTTGGTCAGACATAAAGTCCTGTTGCAACTGCTTTTCTTCTGCTACTTCCCTGTTTCAGCTGGAGTACTCTTAAATACCAAGAAGTGAAAAGGTAATAAGGGAGAAAAGTGTCCTGATAGATTCAGGTCAGCAGTTCAGAAGATGTGTGACTGCTGAAGTCAKTTTGCATTTAGTTTAACTGAGTTTTATCACTGTGAGTATCACCCAAATGTCAGGACTTTAGGATWGCCTTATTTTTTACTGCATAAAGAAGGAACATGTTCAGGCAGATTTTCTTTTTTACTTACTTGTGAACTTCCTTTTTCTCATGCAATTTTCCTTTTCAGGAGCAAGAAATGTCAAAAAAAAGCAGTCCTCTGGCTGGCTGGCTGGCTTTGTTTCTTTTAAAGTTGAGACCAAATACTCATTAATACAAAACTGACATTGATTTTAATAAAGTATGCATAATATGCATTTTTATGAGTAAATTGAGGTGTTCATATGTGTGTATGAAAGAGACTAAACAAAGTGAYTCTTTGTGTACTGCCACATGGGTGAAGCTTTGATRAAAGTGCTGCTGAATAACCTAYAGATTTATTTTATTTTTGAGCTGGGTGTAATCACCATTGCCTAACTCTCACACAAACTGCATAATACGAGTATAACCCGTTTAGTCTTGAACAGAGCCCTTGATGTATTTTCAGTGCTTTGTTTTGCCTCARGTCAAAATGGTAATAATGGGATGTTTGAAGTCTTTTCAGGCTGTTCAGTAATATATTATCTGAGAAGATGTTATTAAAGTCGATTTTGTATTGCATACTCATTAGATCCTATTATTTTACCCCACATTAGGATCCAAATTTTGTTTCTAATTCATATAAAGAAGCTAGTAAAAAGCTTAGTATGTATGCCTTTTWAAAAATCTGGTAGAAAGCATGAATTTGGTAAGCGGGTAAATGTAAAAAAGTGAGACCAAGTACATCAGTGCTGTCAAGAGTTTTCATTTCCATTTTCCAACTCCTACACTTGGCCAGTAGGGAACAATGGTGCTATGCGATGTAGTTCTCTATACATGCCAGTATATCATAATTTGCTACAGGATGCTTATGTCTAATTTAAATTCTTAAAAATTACTAAAAGCTTGATTTTTTAAGTGAATGAGGAAGCTGCATCCTGTCACAAGGAAACATTTCTTACGTGCTTCTGAGATGCAAGAGACACTTCTCTAAGAAAGAAGAATAATATTAGTTTTAATCTTCAAATATCCGATTCACACGCCTCCAAATTGTTGCATTACATTTTGCTAAAATAAATGAATTCCAAGTGTGAGACTTATTGGTTCATTTTTCTGTATTTAGAGATTTGGGTATTTATAAAAATGAAGCTAAATTACTTGGGAACATTATCTAGTACTGATAAAAGAAGTTAGGAATGTGCTGTACACACTTTTGCCTGATCAGATTGTTGGTCAGGGAARTCCTGTAACCTCTTCAATTGTAACTGCATCAGAGACAGCAGGAAGAATCTACAGAAAGAAATTACAAAATAACCTTCCTATAAAGGAAGTGTTCTCAAATTCTGTTTGAACTCATTTGCTGAAACATAGCTGGTTATAAAGATACTTGTTAAGTACTTGATTTGAAATTATGTATGTATATCGAAAATTTACRACTGGTTGTTCTTTCTAACAATGATTTTCTTTTTAAGATGCTAAGATTGTTCCTGATTGCGCTTTATTATTAAAACAATGTAGCATTTTTTTCAGTTTTAATGAAACTCTTTTTCAGCTTGAGCAATTTTCACTCTTTATTTAAAGTTATAGCTACTTAAAGTTACATAATAAYGTGCCTATATTTAATTAATTAATTGTTGTTCAATGTTTAGTCAAAGTGACAACAGGTAGTAGATTTTGGTATAGATTAAATAAAAAAGAACCTTGTAAGTTAAGAACATAGAGAAGAAATAAGTGCTGAAATAGGAAAGGTAGTAAAAATCACAATACTGAGTTTCAAAGGATTAGAGGCTGACAGACATCCCCTGGTTTGTATTTTAAACCATCATGAACCACTCCTATTTTCCTCTAACTTCCTTCTGAAAGTCTTCAAAGTACAAGAACTGCTCCAACTGCTTTTCTTTCCAAAAGTAGTTCCTCTGCAGCAGATCTGCTGTTTTTGCACTGTTCTTTTGTATCCCACTTACAAGTGTTTTCATCCTTCATGATGCCTCCTGGGCATCACTGAAAACAGAATTTTTGCTGTTTCACCATCTTGGAGACCAAGGACCTTTGGGTGAGGGGAGAGATGGGAATCATAAAGTGATCTGAATTTGCTTCTTTTTTTCAGCTTATCTTCCGAGAATGAACATTTAATGTCAGACAACTTAGCTCTGAATAGCAGTATTTTGCCTTTAAGTTGAAAACAAGTCCAACCTTTGCTGCGRTGGCCCAGGAGGACTTGGCTTGTCRTGCCATACCATTAGTGTCCCCCTCTTCCAGCCTTCCCATGTCATGTCATGTCAGTACAAGTGTCCTCAAGGTGCATTAGTGTCACCATGAACAGTAATTGCAGTAGCAGGCTGCAGTCAGAAATGCTGTTTATCAATCCTAATTCACCAAGGCAGGACAAGAGGGTGAAAACCACCCTCATCCTGGCAGGCTGCGGTGCACTGGTGACAGCTCTCCATTTAATTTAGCGGGATGGGGGGCAGTTCTCTATGGAGTACATGAAAGAAATGTCAGAGTTGCTTAACACGAGGTGGGAGAATGCTGCAAGGCACCTCAGAGCCTTCTTTGAGCTTTCATCAGCAGCTGTGGTGTTGCTCTTGTGGCTGACTATTCCTGTGCAGCAGTGTGAGCTTCTAACTCCCAGTGACCAAGGCTGACCAATTTCATCTTTTTTCCTTTTGTGTTTTGATGTGCCCTTCTGAAATGCTKCCTGAAGAGGTTAAACTGCCCCTCGCTGCCTTTACAGTTAGTATTAGCAACTACCAGACCRTGTATTTATTATGAAATTTTATTCATATTCAGCTGTTTTCTGTGTTTGTACCAGTTAGACCCATGCCTACTGCACACATCAGTCTCTTGATTTCTATTGCAATCCAGTGAGATTATATATATGGCCCCTCTTTAAAGGTTATTTATTCACTAATGTACTTTTCAAGCCCATTTCAGAAAATAGGATTGCTTGGGTTCAGTCAGCCCTGGACAGCACTGAGCCTAGAGGAGGATATCTTTCTAACTGTGATTTCATCCTGTGCAGCACACACCTAACAAACAGTAAATACAGCTGTGGCAGACAGGTAGAACTTAGGTGGTAGAAGTTAACCTGGCATCCCCTGAAAATGAAAGCATACATGTATTAGCATGAAGGAAGCTATTCTAGAGAGAAYGAAGGGGTGTTCTGTTGCAGAATAAATGACCAATATGGGAACATTTTGGTTAAGATAATTGCACTCTTGGTTTGCAAATTGAGACCTTTTATTACTACTTTCTGAAGTTGTCTGTAATTTATTTATTTTAGGATTTTCCAGTATGACTGCTTCTCACCCAGAGTACATAAAAGGTTTCTGAACTTTTTGACTGCAARCTGCACTCATATCCAAATTCCCATAATGGGATATACCCAGTGTACATAATTTTCTTTCT